TCTTTATAAACATTTATAAGGCCTAGACCAGACATACGCTTTGTCTCCATAATATGTACTTCTGACGTTTTAGTTCAGTTGTTGCCGAGAACTATAGCATGATCACTAAAAGGGTCAAACAATGCCTCACGTTTGAGTACTTCAGAAAAGCCGAGCTCGCTGGACAGCAATTGTCAATTTTACTTTACTCCACCACATACTGAGATTTTCGGACAAATATGTAAACGCGACGTGCAATGCTCCAATGCTCTCTCGGGAAAGACCGTCATTCTGCACCTTCATAAGTAGCAACTGTTGTTACAAAATATTAAGAATGATAATAGTGTGAAAATTGTTCAGTCAATGTTTTGATCTGTTAAATATTCCATTACATTTTAATAATAAAAAATTACACCAAAGATATTTTAAAATCTCCTTTCAGAAATGTCAGTAAATTAATTAAAAATCGTTGCGTTTAACATAGATTATGTCACGTGAATACATTAAACGATTCATTTAAGATCTTTTGTGATAAAGTAAATTCATTAGCAGATATACGACTTTAATAATGATATAACTGCGCATGGAATTTGTTTGGTGACTCATCGCAATTAATGTTTTGTTGACCACAAAGAATAATTATCTCAACACCTTATACAAGAATCTGGCGATACTTTTAAATAAATGTATAAAATTGAGATGGAATTGTACATTCTTTGTCATTTTCTGCCTTTTCGGCACGGCCAAGTAATTCTTTGCAGCACTCAATTGATTAAAGTGGCATTTTGCTCATTTTTTTCATTGTCAAATTGACTATATATTTCAATAAACTCGTCGTTATATAATGGTGATTGACCAACACATAATATTTGAAAATGTTTTGGTAAAAAATAAATTTACCTAACTATATAAAAAAAAACAACGGCCTACTATTTTTATAAATTGAAAGTTGCAGATATATTCCGCACATTTTACATGGCCTAGTGAGTTATTTATCGTTCATGTGAAGTAAGTAAATTGTAACATTGAAAGGGATTATGAGAAAATGTTAACCTATTTTGACTTTCATTTGTTCACTCTATATCTACCCATGGATGGGCATAATGTCACTTTAATATGCCATGAGAACTTTACATGTCTTCCAACGATCGTTGAGAAATTACACCAATTTGTTACTTGTTTTCTGATTAAAAGATAAAACAATCAAACATACAAGGCTACGTTGGCTGAGCATAGCCCCCTACACCATTCAGCCACACCAGCAGGGTACCCAAAAGGCACCCAACCAAAACCAAGAGAGGACACAAAAGGGCCAATATGGTAAATAAAGGGTAAAAGGTTTCGGAAAAAAATTACTGCGTGCGACCTGCTTGCCGAATAAGAAGCACGGAGCGCAAAACATTTTTACCACCAAGGCTCTGGGAATTTATTGGCCTAGAATCGGTACTGAAACTTTTTGTAACTTTCCTCCGCTGAAGCTGTATAAGATATCGCAATATAGATTATTTTAAAAGATATTAATTAATACTGTTTAATACACTTGTTACTATATATAGTAACAAAATTGCCTATGATTTCAACTGATTATGAGTGTCACGTGACCTATAATGAGTTTGCGGCCCGGGGCCGAGAACTAGTTATCAGCCCGCAAAACATGCGCACGTGCACAAACTGAAACAATGACGTCATATTTTACGTCATCAAACAGTTAACTGTAAAAGTGAAAGTACGTTGTCAGCACGAATTGCTTTATTCTTATTATGAGAGCTTAAGCGTATTTATTACAAACACATTTTTGTTACTATTGAAATTTGATGAAATAATACGACAAATTCATTCCGAAAAAAATGAAAATAAAACTTGAATCTAGATTCTACTGCTTTAAACACAAACAACTTAAACATCTCTGTACAGAACAGTAGAAGAGTAGACAAGAATGTCAACGAGAGAACTTTGTTGTCGTATTTTTTTTTTTTAAAAAAAGCTACTATTAGATCTACCAAGTGTATTAAAGACATTAATACACGTCAGAGTAGGGCCGGGAGGTGATAATCGGCCCTGAATGAATAATGGCCCTCGGGCTAAAGCCCTCGGGTCCATTATTCATTTTGCGGGCCGATTATCACCTTCCAGCCCTACTCTGCCGTGTATTAATGTCTTATTATGTTATGATTTTTTTTATATAATGACAAAAAATATAGTAGGCCTATATGAGTATAATTATGTTGCCCCGACCACACTATCCGCCCCCCCCCCCCCTCTGTTTTTATCACTTTTTTCGAACTTTCAGCGCATGTGATTTTTCGGAAGACAGGATTAATTTGTACGCACGGGCGTACAGGAGTACGCCTAGTTACGCCCCTGGTGGCCTCAAGATAATAAGTCGTGGCCACGAGATAATATCTTGTGGCCACGAGATAATAAGTCGTGGCCACAAGATGATAAGTCGTAGCCACGAGATAATATCTTGTGGCCACGAGATAATAAGTCGTGGCCACAAGATAATAAGTCGTGGCCACAAGATAATAAGTCGTGGCCACGAGATAATTATGTCGTGGCCACGAGATAATAAGTCGTGGCCACAATATAATAAGTCGTGGCCAAGAGATAATATCTTGAGGCCACAAGATAATAAGTCGTGGCCTCAAGATAATAACTCGTGGCCAGAAGATAATAAGTCGTGGCCACGAGATAATATCTTGAGGCCAGAAGATAATAAGTCGTGGCCACGAGATAAAATATAACTTCAAATGTCACCTCTATGCCACCGTAGTTGAGGACTGAATACACATTCTTCAAACCCGTTGAAAATTCATCCAATAGGACATTCAGTCTTACATGTATGTTAAAGTAGGCCACAATATCTTAAAATAGACACTTACGGGTTTATTAATTAGTATAGACTTATATAGAGAACACGTTAAAAAATTAAGTGCATTTGTGATAAAGTATAATACTCAAAGCGAAGATATTTGGTATGTTACAATAAGTATTGCTTTGTTAACCTCTAGAGATGTACATACATGAGCCGCGTCACGTCAAAACCAATATAATGGGTTTGCGACCAGCATGGATCCAGACCAGCCTGCACATCCGCGCAGTCTGATCAGGATCCATGCTGTTCGCTATCAGTTTCTCTACTTGTTATAGGGTTTGTTAGAGAACAGCATGTATGCTGATCAGACTGCGCGGATGTGGCTCATTAATCATTTTCTTTAATCAAAAATGGCCCAGATATTGGGGCCAACTGGATAATATAGAGATATAATAAAAATGTCTTACTAATCTTCAACTTTGGAACAACTAAAATGCCTTGTGCAAAGATATTTGGCTTATAGCATCAACTTGTTGTATTTAACATAGGTCTATTAATCTTGTCCCTCCCTGGAGGTCACTTGATTTATATAGACTTAGACTTCTATTAATATTTCATAAATTATACAGCTGGGGTCAAATTGACGCACCCAGTTTGACCTAGTTTCTTGATGCATTGAATATGCACGAGATAATAAGTCGTGGCCCCAAGATGATAAGTCGAGGCCACGAGATAATAAGTCGTGGCCACGAGATAATAAGTCGTGGCCACGAAATAATAAGTCGTGGCCCCAAGATGATAAGTCGAGGCCACGAAATAATAAGTCGTGGCCACGAGATAATAAGTCGTGGCCACGAGATAATAAGTCGTGCCCACGAGATAATATCTTGAGGCCTCAAGATAATAAGTCGTGGCCACGAGATAATAAGTCGTGGCCCCAAGATGATAAGTCAAGGCCACGAGATAATAAGTCGAGGCCACGAGATAATAAGTTGTGGCCACGAGATAATAAGTCGTGCCCACGATATAATATCTTGAGACAACAAGATGATAAGTCGAGGACACGGGATAATAAGTCGTGGCCACGAGATAATAAGTCGTGGCCACGAGATAATAAGTCGTAGCCACGAGATAAAGTAAAACAGCAAATGTCATCTCTATGCCACCGTAATATTCTGAGATATTTTCGTTCTGTTAAGTAGACAAAAATAGCACAATATCTCGTCGGTCAGTACAATTAGTTGGACTAATAATTAGCCTACATTTGTAAGACGCATTGGAAAACTGAGTTGAAATGATTCAAAGTAGGGATGTTTGACCCACTGTTTTGAGATACAGCTTTATTGCAATGTTACGATGCGATAATAAGTAGAACATATAACTTTGTCATTTCTCGCTACTTTTTAACGTAGTGTTTTTCTTGATAAAGGGAGACTACCTTGCACTGGAAAGCTGTACAAATCGTATAGAATTTCGCCCCTTTACTCAGAAAGTGTATGCTGTGTAATTGTCCTTGAATGAGGTGTCGTTTTTAAAAAATATACTGTTTTTGACTTGAAAGTTGATCATGAGTTTTTAATTTGTTGGTTTGTTATTGAATTATAATCGGGTGAATTCATTTAAGAGTAAGATGTCGATAACTTAATAAATACGATTATTATCATTTAACACAACTATGTCAAATCAAACTTTATCGATTGAACACCGATTTTAATATATTTTCGTTTGTAGGGTAAAACCGACAATATACTGTATTTATCATTTCCTATATACATGTATTTATAAATAAATATAAAAGTTTTCAAGGTTGAACACCACTTAATAATTTTATCTTATATAACTTTATAAATTGGGGTGGGGGGGGGGCGGGGCGTCCGTGGTACGATTACTATCAATTAACACAACTAGATCTATGTCAAATCAAACTTTATCGATTGATAACCGATTTTAATACATGTTAATCAGCATATTTTTGTTTGAAGGGTAGACCGACAATGTACTGTAATTTTAATAACAAGGTCATAAGTCAGTTGAGATTTTTTTTAATTCTACAAAGCGATAGATTAAGCAACACACATTGATCTTTGTTCATTTTTGGTTAATTAAGATGTTAGTAAAATTTCGCTATAAACAAATTTAAATAACATATCCTTTTAGTAAGAAGGAAAATAGTGATAAAAAAAATTCTGTATTCTGTACTCCAGGAATGGCCGTATCAGGACGTAAACAAAGTGATCTACTAGGATCAGTAGCAGCAGGATCAGCAGAAGATTTTGATCACTGTTGTGAGCCATGCCTTACCACAGGTCAACGTATAGAAGCTCACGGGTTTTGTGCCACTTGTCAAGAATACCTCTGTAAAACTTGCCACGATTGTCACAGAAAAGCAAAAGTCTTACGAAATCATCAAATGCTGCAGCGTAATGATTTTGATAAGATCCAAACTACAATGAAATCATGCAATGAATGCACTAAAATGTGTCAAGTTCACAAAAAAGAAATAATAAAATTCTATTGTCCATCACACCATGCACTTGGATGTAATGACTGCATAACTTTAGGACATAGAACATGTAGAGTTGATAACATACCTGAAAAATGCGTAGGTATCGCAGATGGGAAGGAATTAAATGACGTCATGCAGAAACTCAGCGAAAAACTAAAAGGAGCTGAAGAAATTTCGAAGAAGGCTAAAGGCAGTAGAAGCAACATAAATGATTACAATAAAGAAATCATCAAGGCGATCACTGAATTCCGAAAAGAAATAAACGACCGCCTAAATATGATGCAAAAAGATGCTTTAAATAATGCCGAGGAAATAAAGTCCAACAACAAACAAATTATTCAGCATGTCCTTGATACATGTGAAAATATGATTTCCGGTATAAAATGCTTGCAATCAAGTCTTCATGCAAGCAAATCAAATCATGAACACGGTCAATTGTACATTGACATGAAGCGGGCAGAATCTACACTTAAATCATATGAATTGAATGACGCCGAACAAACATTAATGCATACCAATATGCACTACTCATTTCAACGAAATTTTGAACTCGACACATTTTTCTGTAAGAAAATGGTCTTCGGTGAGATTGTCAATCATTCTCGTCATGAATCGACAAAAGTTATAAAAGCTGTTGATTGTCTGATTCGGAAAGGAGATATCAATGTTAAAACGTCATCAGATGAGGAATACTGTAATATTTCAGGATGTGCAGTTCTTAACACAAATAAACTAGTTCTAGCTGATTACAACAACGGTAAGATTAAATTGATATTTATAGAGAACAGACTTGTAAAAGAAGAGAAAACTCGAAAACTTCAAAGTTTTTGAAAATTGCTTAATGTCTCAGGACATTCGCAATTAACAAATGCTATATCAAAGAATTTAGGTTGTCATACAAACAGACGACTAAGCAAATCAGGTCCGCAGTATTTAAATGGGGAGGACTTGCTCAGGGTAGTAATTTAATCAGGTTTTTTATTTGCTTGTTGTCTCCTCCTAGTGTGATTGTACTGAAACCACATATAATCTCTGAATACATCCCTCTGAACTATTCTTCACCTTACTAATACCCGTCAAACGAAAAGGATTCCCAAAACTCTTTATATTAGTGACTTTGGTAACGACAGATATGATCGTATCATACAAGGAAATTACAGCAAATCATATAAGCATGACAGACTTGGGGTAGAACACGAGGGAAAGTGATGGTTAGATGACGGGTCATTACTTTGCTGCGTTTAGTAATGGAACAATTCATAAAAGTCAACGGAAACTTTTGACAATGGAAAGATATATGTATAAATTTGAAGATGGAGAACCCCCTTCAATCAATATGCTACAGTTCACGCTATGCTGAGATCTATGTTGGTTGCTTTGGAGACCAGGTGAAAGCTTTTAACATACAATGAACACTGTATTCATTTTTCATTGATTTGTAAACGGAAGAGTGCATAAAATCATGTGGTAATTGTTCTTTATTATAGAAAAGGTACAATTATAAAAGAACTTACAGGACTTTAAGACATTTATTCCATCATAATTACATTTAAACTTGTAAATTATGAATCATATCTTGAACAAACTTATTTCACATTGATTTCAATGCACTGTTATATAAATGATTTTAGGTTAAACATATTTATGTAAGCATGTGCCTTAAAAAAATAATACATGTAATAATAATAATAATAATAATAATAATGATAATAATAATAAAACTAATATGATAATAATAGTTATTATTATTATTATTATTATTATTTTTATATTATTAAATTAAACTCAAATATCTATGGCAAACGTTGATATTTAATCAAATTGTTTAGCTCTACAAAATGATAATATTTGATATTAGAAAAGATTTATTCCCTCCCTAAATGTATTGTATAAAATACGGATGAAAGCTTTTATAACCAAGACTGCTATGTGAGGTAATGTTATATTTTAAATATCTTAAACATGACCATATATCTTGTCAAATGGTTTGATATATTTTACAGCTACAGCACAATTCATTTATTTAAAAACAACAACTGAACATTGTTTGCATATTAACAGTAGTCATGTACTAGTATATAGATTAAATAAACGTCACGATTAATAGTTATAATATCATATATTGCTGCAAGCATCACAGATTAGCTTTCTTTACAGACATATTTCGCAAAATAAATAACGTTAAAAAAACAAAATCAAAGTTGTTAAGTGTAAGTATCCTATGTGCTGAACCAATGGTTATTAAAGATTTTTTTTGTATATTGTGATACAATACATTAGTGCTTATATTTATATAAAAGATATGTATACATGTATATATGACTGTAATAGGTATATTATTGTCTGAATGCTTTTAAAATACCACTTTAGGTAGCTGTTTCCCAATATACGTATGAGCTGAAGAAAATAAAATATGTAAAAATTTGTTTTTTTTTAAACGGAATTGATGTATATTATACAACATATAGCTCGATAAATTCAAAATTGTTGACTTTCGTGGCATTTTATGCATTTAAAAATAATATACATCGAAAACAAAGAAATGTGACACTTTTAGGTAAAAGGGCAAAAACTATCAATTGGTATATATACGTTATCGTTAGTTCTTAGACAATATTTTATTTAATTATATACCTATAAATTTTCTCCCTAGAATACACGCCAATATTAAAGCGCAAATACGTTTCATCGGATATAAATTTTCGTATTATGTAAGTGACAAATACGGTACCATATATGGAAGTGACGGACTATTTTTGACGTTGGTTCCGATCTTAGCTTTGTATAACGTTGCATTTGGAAACGGGAACCAAAATTATTAAAGGCGTGGCCCGTTTTCAAGAACAACGTATTCATCCGTCAGTCATAGATTAATTTCTTGACAACTACATTGCATTTTCTTAATAAAACGAAAAGGTATATAATAAAAGGAAAATTACGTTGCAGTAGCTTTCTGAGACTATGTATTTTCTACTCGCAACGTTGGAAAATTGATATCTCGCTCGACCTTTGGTCTCGCGAGATATCAATTTTCCACTGCTGCTCGTAGCAAAATACAAAGCCCCAGAAAACTACTACAACATAATATTCCGTATGTATCATAGTTTCCTGTTACCATTGCAACGAGAGGACATCTCAAAATTGCCAAAAATTGCTATTTTGCCTTAATTTTTTCCAACAAAATTTATTTTAAAGTGCTGCAACTTCTCAAGGGATTGAGATAGAGTCAAAGGCTTTTCAGCGTTGGTTACACGCTACCTTATGATCGACCTGGAGTCATTTTTAGCCTCTGACAAGTCCAAAATTATCTTTGCGATGAGGGGGACTACCGCCCCCCTTCACACCCCAAAAAGAAGGGGGCACATCCCCCTTCTGGTAACCCGCTGATGTATCTTTTAGATGGGGGGCGGCGCCGAAAAAGTACTCACTTTATTAGCAACATTTCTCAAACGAAACCATGTGTTTGGGGTCCAAATAGCACATTTCTTCACTACTTTAGGCCTAAAAGAGGGAGGGGGTCGAAAGTGCGTTGTTTCGCGTATATATGGGGTAAAGGATTAACAAAAAATAATGAAAAACTTTGGAATTACCCAAAATCTAGTTATTCTATGTAAAAATGTGGTCTTTCACCTAATTTTGGTGAAAACTTGTTGTTTTGTAACATTTTTAATTTTTTAAGTTAACAAAAAATTATGAAAAACTTTGGAATTACCCATAATCTAGTTTTTCTATGTTAACATGAGGTATTTCACCTAATTTTTGTGAAAACTTGTTGTTTTGTAACATTTTTAATTTTTTTAGTTAACCCTTTACCTCATGAGCATATTGCGAAAAATGGCCGTTTTCATTGTAAAGCCTCCTGTTACAAGTTCAAACAGCTATGAAACTATGAAAAATGCTTCAATACTAATCAAACTTGGCACAAATGTTGACTGGACCATTGCTTTGTACCGAAATGCTCAGTCTTAAATTTCCTATTACCATGGCAACGAGAGGACATCTCAAAATTGCCAAAACATCGCTATTTTGTCTTGATTTTTTCCAACAAAAGTTATTTCAAAGTGCTTCAACTTCTCAAGGGATTGAGATAGAGTCAAAGGCTTTTCGCGTATATATTGGGTAAGGGGTTAAACATATTCATTTTTCTGTCGTCCAATTTATAATGATTTTACAAGTTTAAAAATGAAGGAGAAGAACTGATATATTATGCAAAATCACACCGGATCCATAAGAATAACATAAACAAAACATAATCAAATAAATCATACTTAGTAAGAGGGAAAATTGAATTTACATATATGTTCAAATAATATATAATATCCGGTTGCAATTATAACAGCTGCTGGCTATTTGAAATAATCGGCTTTCCTGGATAACTTTCAAGTAATAATCAATTTTTCAGCAATTTACCGACTACTTATTTATCAAACATTATGATTTAGCTGGATGCCTAATTAATGCTCTTACAAGTATAGCAGAAATCCTACTAATAACCATCCCGGAATTAGGAGCACTCCGCTATTAGGACCGTTACCCTGTTGAAACCAAAAAGAGCCAAGTCAGCCTGTACATCCATACTGTTTGTAAACTATATTTTTATCATATAATTTGAAAAAATTATCACTAAATGGAAGATAAAATAGTCCAATTCAGAAACTGAAAAGTTTAAAAGTCACGTGGTGAATACAGAGTCATTCAGTGTTTTTGCAATAACATAAGATTAATCGTTATTGATTGGGTCATTAATTGATTTGACTAATTGATTGGTAAGTGTATATTCAGGCTCACAGACATGTACATAATATTCTGATCAGATATATTTAGACACAATTTTTATTTTCATGTCATAAATATTATAAGTAATAAAAAGGACATTTTCTAATCATGTCTAGTAGTTGATTTTAACAATTCCTATTGTGAATTGTTTAAGTATAAGTTTCGTTCCAAATTATACAAATGTAAAATTAATGATCATATTGAATTGAAAAGTCGCATCCTTGAAATATGTCATGATGTGCTACCGTCATTTAACGCATCCACAAGTTTGCTTTTGAGATTTAAATTTCCAAGATTTAAAATGTCGTCAGGTATTTTAATTTGATATATAAAACCCTCTGTGGTATACATCAACACATCTGTTTTCTAGCTCTGTCAAAATACTGCTTTTGTTATTTCGTAAATCACATTCTTTCTTTTTTCTCTTTTTTTTCATCTTAATTAGTAACAGGAAAAATCTAAACCATAGTTTTCATGATCACGTGACGTGTTTCCATGACGATTATTCCAGTCTTTTCCTGAAACAACAGGTCTTGGTAAACGAACAGGTTGGACTTGGGAGGTTTCATTTAAAAATGATTGCTTTCTCCAAATCCTTTGCTGGATACTAGGACCTTGGCTTTTGTTTCTGGTAACCTGTAAACACCACTGATTGTTGGCAGATATGACACTTGTATTTGGCTTTGCTGTTAATTAGGAAAAATAAATAAATAAATAAATAGGAAAAATATAGGAAAAATGTTTAGTAATTAAAATTGATATAAGAATCATGGATTAAACTCGATTTTCTTATGATATTCTTGTTCTTATTGCTTCCGATGGAGCACCACTTTTACGGATTTTCGAAACATATCATTAACTTATGACACTTATTGGTGCAATCACTTTTCATGAAATCTCAAAAATTAACAATACTATCGACAGAATAACAAAGGAACAAAAATATGTTTTTATGGTTTTGATTAATGTATATTCTTTCCTAATTCTATTCCAAGCAATTAATGTAGTGGAAGTGACGGGATATAGAATACTAGCCGACCAATCAAAAATAACGTTACATAAAATAAACATCATGTGTAAATTAAATTATTACAGTCAGCAAACATTCTTTCTGACAAATGAACAAGACATATTCTGAGCATTTTAATAAGTATTTACAAGCTTTAGAAAGAATATAAAAATGTTAGAAACAGGCAAACAACTCATGTGTTTCCCGTCCGCTTGTTAAGGGTTTGTGTGCGAATCAAAAGGAAATTGGACACCAAATGACAAATTTTAGTTTGGTTAAATAATAAGACAGTTATTGTATGAAGAATCAACGAGTATCGAAGTCTATGGAAACAATAGAAATGTGTCACTAGAAATTTCGTATAATATGCTGTTGGAAAAAAATGTTTATGTTGTTCAAGGTGTTTTAGAATGACCATTTATCTGATGACATAAAATAAAAATATGTTTTTTCGAGAACATTTTATTATATATCTGCTTAATAAATAAATATATGTAATATAGGATCATGTATGTCACAATTACCAACAACTTAAGTACATGTATAACTCTTTCATGGTTTGTTGTTATGTCCATTACTAAACACTATCAATATAATTATTCATTGTATTACAAACTTTCAATTTTACATCAATTCACTTAAATCAAATCACCAAAAGTGAATAGAAAATGGGAAATTTTACCGACATTTTATCAATAATTTACCGAAATAAGAAATATTAAGAAATATTCAAGAAATGCATACCTCTAAAACGAGAACTTTTATACTTACAAATTCGTGACATCCAAAATAAAATGATGGCTATGTACATTACACTTCCAGTTGATAGAGATGATATTACGAGTATCACACTTTTGTTGTATTCGTCATCAGAACATTGGGTCTCCATGGTGATTTTGTCGTTTAATTTGATCTTTGTATGCAAATATAAACAAACAAAAACCATGAAAAATTTACGAGGAATATGCCTTTGAAATTAATATCTTTATTTATTATACAGTTTAGTCGTATCTCTTCTTTGAACAAAATGTTCTTTTCCTACGCTTAAAACGCATTTGAACGTTCTTAGCAACGTTAATATGATAAGATATATATTTACATATATAGTTACAATATCTATGCAATTAAGCGTTAAAAATGTTGATAGCAAAGAACATAAAAATAATCGTCGTTATTTTGAAAAATAAATTAAAGTTATGTTACAGTTACTGTGTACAAATTGAATGTTTAGCTAATCTCTTGTTTTTTATCTTGAAATGTATGTTAATCTATACTAGGGACAAATACCCAACAGGTGTTCGTTTCTGACAAAATGGCCACTGATGCGAAATAAAAATATCAATAAATATAACACAAGTAATATAAATCCGTCGCTGTTTTATAATTTAGTCCATGTACACAACCAGAGTTTATTCAAATTAGCAATATAAGTTTCATGCTAATTTTCATATTCAACTTAAGCTATATTGCTTTTATAATAAGCCGTGTAATTCTCCTCGAAACTTAGCAGTCTGACAAATTCAATGTTACAAACAATCATAATTAGTTGTTTTTATAGCATATTTATATAACTTGTTTGGTGACACTACACACATTAATAACATTATTTCATTTATATAAAGGTGACACATAATTGTTTGATAACGTAATTCTTATTATGATTACAATGTATTGTTTTACAAAAAATTATAATGTAATGTAAAAGATAAATACTTAAGTTAAAAATAAAACCCATGAATTCAATTACATTCGTCGACAATAACTCGACATTGTAGTAAGACAGTGTAGTAAAGAATATAAATATAATATGACATAAATTTGATTTTGTTTTACTTTTAGTTAACATATATCTAAATTAAATCTAAATAAGATCATTTCTATCTGAAGATAATACGTCACGTGACATTTATAAAACGCTACTTTCAACAATAAATGCAGTAACAGTTTTTTTTTATAAGATATGAAAAATAATAATTATAAATAACTTAAAATTTTTATTTCAAGAGCAGCGCTTTAAATGGAATTACTGCACTCGGTTTCAAGCGTACACAATAAATAATAAGAGAATGTATCGACCATAAATCAAGCCTTAAAATCGTATTAAATTTTGATTGACTGAGTGAATTTCGGTTTATTCTTGTGCGTAATTAATTACATTATGTACTTACAAAATAGATAAAGTATTATTTGAAATCTTATTTATCAATGTTCATGTGTAAATGACTTATGGATTCCTGAAAACCGCCATTCAAGACATTATCGGATGTTTCTAAATTCAAGTTATTGTTATTTTCATTTTAAATGTTAAATTCTGCCCAAACCGGTGCCCGGTGCTAGGGAGGATGAACGGTAGCTTGCACTTACCATAAATCTCTTTTATGAGCACAGTTACGCTAACTAGTTACTAGCTTAATGAATTGATCGTAATTAGATTTTAAAATGTTATCAATCAAAAATTATTTTTTTTATGGAATTGCTGAACAGTTTCTCACTCTATTCATAGAAATTTGTTTGCAAACTTAATTGATCTGTGCTTTAGTTTTGGAATCATATAAAGCAGGGATGGCGTTTTAAAGTGGATTGGTCTACAATGGGCACATTTTCCATAAGCATTTCATATTGAGAATATATAAGTTGGATATTCTTATAAATAAATATGAAATATGTTGAATAAAAATATTTTGTTCTAGGAGAATTTATTATCTGCTATTTAAAGATATGTTATATCGGATCTTGTATCTCACACTTTCTATCAACATTCATATATAATCATTTCATAGTTTGGTAGAAGGTATGAAACCAAAACTATCAACATCATTATAAATGGTATAAAAGACCTTCCATTATGAACCATTTCACTTTAATTGATTTTACCGATGGTCTCTTTGTCATCTACTTGATAATATTGTTTAAAGTTACATTGTAAAATGTATGAAAAAAATAAATATAGTTATAGAAAAAGATTCATAATGCAAATTAAAAACTTTGACCTAATGATTGCATTATCGTAATGTTTAAAATAGTTTAGATGAACATTTATATATAACACTGCTAAAATTTGAAATTAAGAAACATCTGCAGATGTCTTCATATGAAGATAATCATGGTAATATGACAAGTTCTTGCCATGTTTCCTTAATCTTTCCTTAATGCTTATTATCATTAGAATCTTGTATTGTTCTTTTTTTTTCAATTCTCTCAATAATAACTCAACATAAACAACATGAACGAACTTTACAATTTCTGATTGACACGTATGTTTGTAAGTTTGTAATAAAGAAGAACTTCGTGTAAAGTGTAACCAAAAATATCTGTAAATTGGATTTCAAATGTTTCATTTAATAATTATGTGATTCCTTAGAAATACATTAAATGAACTGAGTAGATGGAGAGCGAAAAGTAAGCGAAATGATGGAAATGAATCTGGGGGACACGAACCCAAATGGAAAGAAGTAGTAATAAGTTACTGAACTGGAATCAACTTAACATGATTTTGTTGAAAGAACCACCATCAATATTTGAAAAGCTAAGGACATATCCGAAAAAAGCAGTGTATTGAATTTCAGTTCCATGAAACATCAATGGGAACAGACATTAAAACTCTAAAAAAGAGAAAAGGATGGTATATATGCTCATGCTTCTGGCAAACCTCAAGAGTACTACCTGTCACCCGGCCGCCACCACCGTGCATGCATCAGACATCACTTCAGGCTGCTACGCTGCCCTGCAATCCAGTGCTGTATAACACGGTCGAGGGCAAACTATTCGTCACTTAGATTAAAAATACCCACTAAAAATACTGTTAACATATATTTAACAAATAAGTCTCTGATTTGATTGAAGTAAATAACTTCTGACTTATTTACCTAAAGTCTGATAATCTCTATAAAAACCATAAACGACAAGGTAGATCATGCAGTTTCTTAACAGACTTAACTTTTTAACAATAACAAATTCCCATTGAAAAAATAAAAACTTGAAAATGGAATTCTTTAAAATTGACATTGTGTGTTTATTTACTTAACCGTCATATTTCATAATGTATCTGATACAGTGATTAATCTTAAAATGTATTTTCATTTCATTAAAGTATCTCAAAATATCTAGGTATGTGTACATGAATAATTTTGTTTTAGTTTCTGTTTAACAAGGCACTTTTATATCAATTAAAATACAATTGATTTCAAAAAATCTTTTCGGATTATACCTAAAACATTGTAATTATATGTGAAATATATTTTTCATAACACTCAATAGGAATCAGATATACTGAGCTAAAATACTATTTAATTTTTGAAATAATTTTTTAAAGAATGACGTGCAATCATTAGTTTGTATTACCCTCAGAATACAGCATGCCCGAGATTCATGCTAATGTTCATGGAAAATTTAAAATATGCTTGAAATGTATAATATTGTAAGGTAAACAAAGAATGTAACAAACAGATTGCAAACAAAATCAACAATCCAGGTAAATTACCAAAAATAGGCCTTACCGCTTCCGTCATCAATAGCATTTAATATGAAAATCATCACTTGAATCTTAAATGTATTTCTTATTTTAAATCCAAAATTAATTTTATTGTAAAGCCTGTCTTTGAAATACAATAAATACAATTAAGGCCAGCGTTATGCCCTTATAATATTAGAAATAACATTGTGCAAAAAATAGCATAAGAAAATAAATTGTTAAGTGTCATGGAATAGATTAAGAATAGCCCCAATCATAAATTTTAGAAATTTCCTGCTCGGTTTATACTTTTGTAATATCATTGTTAGCAGATTCTTTTGCAAAATCCAACTCCCGGATACCTATCTTGGGCGGTAACAGGCAAACATCATTATCTCCAAATTCATATGTTTTATCTAGACGAATAATAAATTCTGATCCGAACCACAGCATATTACATTTTATTATTAAAATTTTGCAAAACGACACTGTTTACCGTAAACCAAATATCTTTATAACAACAATATCTATACTTTGCAATGTAAAATTAATATCAGCAATGCCCAAAAAATGTAAATATTCAAATATTGAGTTTATTTTCAATGAAAAGACTGTGCTAAAGCAACAGTAGAAAAGAAAAAGAAACAACAACCACATAAAACATTAATTTTTTTATAGTATAAATATAAATGAAGTATGGGATATATTTGTTACATTGAGGAATGATGCCCTTTAGTTAATCTTGTTTTTTTTTATTGGATTTTATGTCACACCAATACAATATAGGTCATATGGCGACGTTCCAGCTTTAATGGTGGAGGAAGTCCTAAGTTGCCCCTCTTTGCATTACTTCAGGTACGAATTGGTACATGAGTAGAACCACTGACGTTCCGTAAGCTAGCTGGATAGCTTCCTCAAATGGAAAAAAATCCAAATTCGAACCCACATCGGTGAGGGGGCAAGTAGTTTGGCAACTCGACCACTTACACTCCCTTAGTTAATCAAAACACCTTTTTATTGAGTTAATGAAATGTACAAATTAGCCTTAGATAAAATGGTATAAAAATATACAAGTTATTAATTTCAATTCCAGGATTTTAAAAGACTTATTCTTATTTAAAAAAAGTAGAGGGACATGCGTGTTTTCGATCTTACAATGTTGCAATACGTAAGACATTTATAAAATATAAATCCGAAGTTTATCCTTTTCGCTAGATCTATATATTGTGTGCATTAACCGTATAGTCAGTCTAAAGTTTCAAATTAATGGGAGATAATTTGAAATGATGCACTCCGATATAGGACATGCTATTCATAAACGTATCCAACGATCTGTGGTAATTCAGCTTGAAGGTCACTGCGTTTCATAACATTTTGGAAAGGTAGAGTTTATAACTACTTAAGTTTAAATCTTGAACACTTTAAGATGGATCTATCTTAAATGAAAGGTTTATATTGTGATCTGTACATATTGGCATGGGGTGGAATTCTGTATGATAGTTAAACCTGACAAGACAAAGGTAATCAATACTTTTAATTTAATCGTTCGCTCGAACTCGGATCGCTCGAATACCTCCCTTCGCTCGAACTCATCGCCCAGTCCCGGCAAAATTCCTATATAATATATATTGTTCTACCTCGGATCGCTCGAACACGGATCGCTCGAACTCTCGAACCTGATCTCTGGTCCCTTCGGCAGAATTATATTGAAAATCACACCTTTTCGGTCGAACACAAAAAGACAAGTTGGTATGTCCTAAATAAATGACAGTCGGCGACGTATGTTTTTAACACCTCGTGATCGTGACAAAGGTAATTAAGGTTAATTGACACAAAATAAGAGGTGTTGTAACCGATTTATTTGTATGATAATATTGTTGATTTGCCGTTTATGGTAACGATAAAAAGAAAATAACTTGTGAAATAAGTGAAATATGCATGCCAATAAAGAATGACGTTTTACCCGGACGGCTTTAATTACAACCATGGTTCATGTAAAGTGAATCGTAACAGTGTTATCTATTTATAGAATGATACTTGTATGTGTGTTTATTATAGTAAATGACTACAAATAGATGCTGCTGTAAATGTTTTTAATAAATATTTCATTAATTCATTTTTTAAAATTATATTCATCCCATTATAAACATATAAATATATTTTGAACATTGTTCAACAAGTTTGGTGTGATTACGCAATCGAACTCAACCAATTACAATATGCATGAATATAAATTGACACAGCGTACCGTTATTACTTAAAACACTGGGATAA